AAAAAAAAAAAAAGGCATCTTCTGGCCCATTTTATGTATTTTTTAAGAAGAGCAATGCACTTCTGGAGTCAACCACAGTCAAACCAGTTATCCTCAGCTCACTGCCCTGCAGAGCAGATGAGCGGCTGCTGCTCTTGTGCCACAGGCTTTGCACAAGCAGCACTGACAGCCTCTGCCTGAGGTCAATAGGACATTTCTATAGGAAACAGCCCTTGGGCAAAATGGTTCCCAATGGTCCTCCACGGTGCAATCATACGCCACGGACCATTTCCAAGCACACCCTTTTCTGCTCCCGGGAGAAGTCATGTAAACCAGGAGTTTAGACCCAGCACTTAGAGAGCAGAAGGGCTCTGCGGGGAAGCCCGGGGGCACACAGGCTCCCTGCCAGCACCCAGCAGGTCTCCTGGCTTGGGGGGAGGATGGTTTGCAGGAGCACGAAGCCAGAGAGGAGCGACCAAGGAGCAGGCACGCAGCAAGCCAGGAAACCTTTAAGGCACAGAGGAGGAGGGAATGGTTTGATGGGCACAAGTGACAGCAAGGCAGCTGGTGCTGCGGGTGCCGCACTCGGTGCTGGTGGGGGGCAGCTGAGCACCTCCATGGCTGGCATTTGCTGCATTATGTAACGATTGGGGAAAAAAAAAAAAAAGCATGTAAATATTTTATTAAAGAGTAAGTCATGCTGGATCTGCTACTGTATGGCACTGAATTAAGATAATACCTTTTGTTTCAACCAAAAAGCAATTGTAACAAGGAGGCACACATGCAAACACTGAGTAAAATATGATGTGACTAGCAGGGAAAGGCAGAACATTTCACCACAAATAAAATTTGGCCACTATTTAGGCTGAAACTGAGTAATGAACTGAAATCATCTCACCTTTGCAACTGTATTGCTCCCGGGTCTCTGTCACGACGGGGAAAACCTTCCAGCCTTATCAAATGCTGCTTGGCACAGCGTAACCTTGCTGAATCCCACACCTGCAGCACGTTGAGCTCTGTCACATCCAGCTTGCCTTTAGTGAGGTCACAACAAGGCAGGATCCAGGAGACCAAAAATTAAGTAGGTTAAGGGTGGAGGGGTTTTTAACACACTGTTGAAGGAGGATACATGCAGGATATGTACCCCTGTGTAGGTACCCTGTATGAAGATACAAATATGCACTGGGACCCTTGCAGGGAGGTGGCTGCTGCCTCGAGAGCCATCACCAGCCCCAAGGAGCTGCGGTGACTCTCACTCTGCTGCTGAGCCATGGCTTGGCCGTGTTGGGTGGAATTTGTTCTGGTTTGTTCTCCCAACACTGTAGCCTGGTGTTTCTGGAAAATGCCTCTTCACTTCTTAGGAAACATACAGAAGAAGTTGGAAGTATAGGCACAAGATATTTAGCCAGAGCAACCCAAAGGTGGCCATACAGTGTTTAAGAGTTCTGCACTTCATTGGTTGTTCTCTGCTACTTTGTGCATTGCTTAAGCTTTTGCTTGTTTGTGCAAACCACAAAGTTTGTACATTCAGGCAGTGGTGGCCAGTTCTGCTGAGTCACAGGGCAGAGCACCTGGTGTGCTGATGTTAGCAGGCATCTTCATGGTGCCACTTCTGTAATAGCTTTAAGAACTGTATGAATGACAGACACACCACCCACCAAGGCAAAGACACTTCAAAGTAAGCAATTTTCTGAAGACTATAAAAGGGGACTTGCCCAGTTCTGCATAAATACCAACTACAACAAAGCGAGTCCAAAGTTAAGTAATGTAAAATTAGTAACTAATTATTAATTAGGAACTAATGTGGAAGTGAAAAATATTTTCTATTTGAGAGTACAAAGAGAAAACAAAGGCATTACACTATTTAGTAGTTGATATTTTTTATCTTAGAAAACTAAAAAAAACCAACCTTAATTCAAAACATTCTGAAACTTAAAACTTCTAAATTTTGAGCCAGAAATTCTATGAAATACACATTTCTGCAAATGTTACAAGAAAACTCATGGAGTTGTATAAACTAGCATATAAGTCATTCTGTTCTAGAGTGTGGACTAGAGGAGACATTGGAAGATATGGTTATGTCACACTTGGGGACATGTCTTCATGATGGCTGCAGGTGGAAGTCATGGCCTTCATTTCTCCCTGAGAAAAATAAAGATGCAAAAAAGTCTAAGACCTCCATCCTCACCTCCTTGGAGGGCTCTGCTCAGCTGCAGCCAAGGCTCCCTCCTCCCCGTGAATACCTGGGGCTTTCGCATGGTTGATGACCGGGTGCTTCAAGGGCGTTATGATGCCTTGGTTGGGTTTCTGGAAGGCCGAAATGAGGTTGTGCATTTTCCGAAAGAGCCTCCGGTGGACTCCAGGCGCTGTCTGCAAAACCAAAGGGTGAGAGGTGAGAGGGGATGCTGGGTGGTGAAAGTCTCTGCCGCACACTGGGCACTGGCACAGAAGTCTTGCCCTCAGAAATGTACACACCTCCCAGGGGAGGAGCCATCCCTGCACTTAGACCACCTGATGTGGCAACCTAAAATGAGTCAATGAGCCTTACTGCTCTCCTCCTCCCCACCAGGGCATCACAGCCTCCCTGCATTAAGACTGGTTTCCAGCAGTGTGGTGCTATAAGGCTGGAAGAGGGACAATTTCTTAATCACTACAAGAAAAACCCAGAGCCTCCCATACTTATTAGGCAAATTCCCAAGTGATCTTTCACTATTTCTGACCCTGATTTATTGCAGCCAGTGTTTTAACCTCCAGCCTGGGGTTTATCAGTGAGACACTTCCAGCCTGGAAATACTAGTGAGGCAATCTAGGGAGTTACCTGGCATTTACTGGGGACGGGAAGTCCTTACACCGCTACATTCAGGCATGGACACAGCCGCTTTGCAAACCTTTCTCTGAGCATTCAAACCAGTAGGCTTACATCTTGATTCAGTATTCCTGTCTGTCTCTTGAACAAAGGCAGCAGCAAAATGTTACCAAATTATTAAAAGGGGGAGGTTTTCTATCTTTCTATGTTAGTATCTTTTCAAACACTGAAATGAAATTGTGTCTGCTTTTAATTAAAAATCCAGCACTTCTTTTAAATCCTTTGGGGCATTCTTGAAATAACTCCTCCCCACCAAAGACATGGGAGGACAAGTATAGGTCATGCTGGACCCGAGGGACACTGCTCTCACCCAGCAGTCATGGGCTAAATCCTGCCTCATTGGCACCAGCTGGGGGCTTCACACTGGCTGGGATTTTACCAGTACTGTTTTGATTTCCTGCCTCATCCTTGAAAGATGGGCAAGACCTGAGCTTGATCAGAGACTAAACAGCCACAGGGAAGGAAGCAGAGACAGGAAAGCACCAGCTGCAGCCTATTTTGTCCTTGGAGGTACATTTCATGGGGATAAGTTTGATTTAGGCTGCTGTTTCTAGCAGCTGAGTCTTAGCAACACTTACTTAAAAGTTTCTGTTTGCTTAAGGGAAGGGTGGGTATCATGGTTCTGTAGCTAGCACCTGTTCCTGCAGAGGATGTATTGAGAGTTCTGGGCTTTCAGGACACCTACACTGAAATAAATATAAGGCTTGCCAAAAATACAGTGGAGGTGATGGAGGATGAGTTGTCGCAGTTCTGTATAATACCAGCAGGCTCCTGGCAGAACTGTGGCTCCATGGAGAAAGGAGCCCATGCTGGAGCAGGTTTGCTGGCAGGACTTATGACCTTGTGGGGGACTCACACTGGAGCAGTCTATTCCTGAAGGACTGAACCCTGTGGAAGGGACCCAGACTTGAGCAGTTCATGAAGAACAGCAGCATGTGGGAAGGACTGATGTTGGAGAAGTTCATGGAGGACTGTCTCCTTTGGAAGGGCCCCCACACTGGAGAGGGTGCAGAGCATGAGTCCTCCCCTGAGGAGGAAGGAGCGGCAGAGACAACATGTGACAAACTGACCACAACCCCCATTCCCCATCCCTCCGCTCCACTTGCGGGGAGGAGATAGAGAAATCATGAGTGAAGTTGAGCCCAGGAAGAAAGGAGGGGTGTAGGGAAGGTGTTTTAAGATTTGGTGGGTTTTCTTATTAACCTACTCTGATTTGATTGTCAATAAATTAAATCAATTTCCCTGAGACGAGTCTGTTTTACCCATGATGGTAATTGCTGCGTGATCTCCCTGTTGTTATCTTTCTCCTCCTGTCCAGTTAAGAAAGGGAGTAATAAAGCGGCTTTGGTGGGCACCTGGTGTCCAGCCAGGGTGAACCCACCACACCCAGCATCCCTCCTGAGACACGAGTGCTCACCCTGGCATGCTGAGTGCATGACCACCCCCACCCCATCCCAAAAACCCTTCTGCTTGGGCAGTGCAAATCTACCGGGTGCTCCTGATGCCTTACAGGAACGAATGAGCAAATTCTTCCTGGGTACCATTCCCAAGGGTGACATCGATAATTATTTACTCCACAGTAACATGAGTCACTTTTACTCCCCCATCTGCTTCTCAGTAACCCCAGGAATCAGTCTTGTCTTCCAGAGCACTTCTGTTATAATAATGGCCATGGAATTATGCCTGTCTAGGAATTATTTAATATTTGTAATCAGCGCTCATTACTGTGCAAACAGAAAGCTAATTGTAAACTAATACACAGAGTACATCCAAAGAACAAGACTTGCATAAAAGAAACACAGGTTAACATTCCAATTCCACCAACCCAAACAATTGTCTGTGTTGCAAATGGTGTCATTCTACACTTGAATTACCAGGTTCTTATCATATGGGAGAAAATACATTTTGTATCAAGTTTAGGCTACCCTATATATGTTTTGCAGTAATGATGAATTAATCTGGAGATAAATTAACTTTAAAACACTGTAGATATTGAAAATAATTTCCTTAAATATTCCAACATTAATGGTATGTGGGATAGAAGGGAACTGATTGTGCTTGTCAAATTACAAAAACACAAATTTTTTGCCATTTAAAATGATGCAAAATAATGCACTATTGCATTATGCAACACCTGAAATGTAACAGGGAATTAATTTATGAGTTCAAGACTGTCAGAAGTGGCACCAAGACATCCTAGTAATGGGTGCACTCAAGATCGATTACCTTCGATGAAAATCAGATGATGCAGAAACATGAATAATTTGAATATATTTCATTAAATCAATATGAACATCAAAAAGGATGCAGAAATTTTCAGAAGAGAAAGGAGAAATACACACCTCAGCACTCCAGGACCCAGATTCTGTCTTGGACACTCTGTAGGTATAAACGTAACCCTGATGCCTGTGGAAAAAAAAAAAAAATCAACAGGTATTTACTACTCATTTCTACTGACAGGTTTCACAAGAGGCACACTCTGTCAGTTTATCTGTTAACCCTTCTTTAAAAATAAATTCATCCATAAAAGCTCTAGGTGGATAAAAAAACTTAGACAGAGTTCAACCTACTGGGTTCTTCTGGGTGAGAGGGATTGGTCTGACTTAGATCTAGTTTGGCAGTATTCAGTTATTCTAAGTTAATGACGTTGCTTTCATTCCTGCCTCAGCATTTTTAATTTTTTTTTTTCAATGACCTCCTTTTACTGACACACACCAGACATACTTTCCCTGGAAAAAGTGAAGGTGTATTATTAGCAGAAATCATTACTGTATTGTGATTGATTTAAATGCAGATCTTCCCAGAAGCAATAGCACGAATATAATTTGTTTGGAAAGCTACACCCACAAAAGCAAGGTAAATTATTCTTTGCCTTGCCCAAACATTCCTAATTACATAATCACAGAATCTTCAAATACTGATAAAGAAGACTTATAAGAACACAGAATTTTCCTTCTTTTTAAATCTCATTTGAGTCTTTCAAGAATAAGGAGTCACACATTAATAACACAAGACACACTCATGTCCAGAGTCAGTCTTACTTCTCTTACAAATCCAACACAATGAGTGATTTACATGGTAGATGATTATATCGATATCTAAAAATTTAACTCAGAAGCAGAGACAATTGAGAGTAGTTACCTGTGTGCAACATTAGTTTAGATGGTATCAGATGGGAAAGATTGTATTTCATACTACATAGATTTACATGAATACACACCAAGATTTTAGGGACTATTCCCTATTTCAGCATCAATTCTTATTCTTAAGAAAGCAGAAAAATACTCTATTTCTTTACAATTATACATGGTATTATAGCAGTTACCACAAAATAGCAGAAACCATCAATGACACAGATACCGTATGATTGCAATTACTTACGCTCTGTGTCATGGTTCCTGGATAAATTCTTGTTAAAAAGTCATTACAGCAACCTTTGCAAAGCGGTGTCTGATATAATTTACCCAAGTAGGAAGTTGTTAACAGTTGTCACGCTGCTACAACCCCACGAAGTGGGAGCAAAAATGCTTGTTGTGATTTGTGAGCTCTCCACCCCACCACTCGACTCCCACTGTGATTAAATATAGAGGCAGAAGACACAGAGCCATTCCCTCCCGTTGGGGCTGCGGTAGGGACAAACTCTCTGTGCAGCAGCTGAGACACTGCCCTCCTCCTCGTGACAGGGAACGTGCCTGATGCAGCCCCACAAGCCCACCACTTCATCCACCTCTTTGTGTTAACCTAGGGAGTGTTTTCTCTAGAGACACGACTTTCCACCTGGCACTAGATGGACATGAAGAGTGGCCCGCCATGCTCACTTCATGGAAACCTAAGGGGGAAAAGAGCTGCTGTGACCCCACTTCTTCCCCCAGCAAGCTCAACTGCTGCAGTCCATCAGGGATTTGGACGGGCCCAGAGAGGGCCCTCAGGAAGAGGTCTGAGCAACCTGCTGTGGCTGCGGGAGGAGGGAAGGACATGGAAGGACAACACTGTTCTCCTGTCCTTGCCATGCAGTGTTTGAGGACATGGCTCAAGTCCGGTTGCTTAAAAAACCCATCCCGCTAAGCTACCAGATATGTTCATGTTCAGGGAGTCTAATTATCTTCCATTAGGGCCCTTGGACAATCTTGTACCATCACATCCTTTCTTAAAACCTCTGAGACCCGTTCCTGTATTGTCAGCTTTTCATGAGTAGCTGATGTTCACACTAATCTTTTGTTTTAGAAATCACAAGGGGCTTTCCTGCACCTATGTATTTAACAGGCAAGCCAATATATGGTTACTGAAACCAGGATTTTACAGGCCATAGTGTACTGGGAAACACCAGAGAGGTCCTGGCATTTTGTCCCATCTCTTTGAAGTGGGTATTTGACTGTTCCCACAGTGATTTTTTTTCAAGCCTCAAAACCAACAGAATCAGCAAGTAAAAATCTAAAACTCACTCTCTGGCCTCCCGTTTTTAATAATACACTGTGCATATTACCCATGCTTGATCTTGATTGTCCCAAAGCATTCCAACTGCTTCAATCTCTTTAAAATCTGATTTTTCCACAAATAGCTCAGTTGTCCGGAAAGCTACCATCTGTTGTTTCTTTCATTATTTCCTCTATCTAAGAGATTGCATGACTTGAAGTGTTTGAGGGACTGGGGTGCTGCCCTGACTCTGAAATGTCTGATGGGCTTCAGCACTCTGCCAAAAGGGTTTACTAAGCTGGACAAATTGAAAAATAGAGGTCAGATAAAGTAATATTCAGGGCCAAAGCAGGGTGAGGTATAAAATAGACACCTATCCTGCATTTTTCAAAAAATTGCACTGTAATGTATTCAACCAAGCCCAGAGAAAGCACAAAGGATACAAAGATTAAAATCCCACAAGATACAGAAAAAGGAACGAGAATTTGGGAACATAGATGCTTTGAGCACAGTGTGGAGAATGGGAGAAGTATGACATTACTATCACAGCCTTGCGAGGGACAAGTGAGCTCTCCACTCACCCGGAAAACGTAATATTTTTCCCAGAGGAGAAAAGAAAAGGCTGAAAGACCTGAAGATGTTCTCACTGTGCTTAAACTGAAAACCACAACATCATCATCTGTTGTGGGCTCTGAAGCTATCAGTAAACTCTGCCACTCTCTCTAGATGGGTGATGGCCCAGGACCACCTACTCTAAAGGAAATGCACAAAAGGGAGGAGGAGGCAGTTGGTAAGAAGGTGAACAGTTAGATCTTCCCATCTAACTACTTTCCATTGGGATCTTTGTTTCCATAAAACGAATTACAGCTCTTCTGATAGGTACCCCTCTAACGAATATGATCTTATCAAAACTTTCTGTTAAGCAGCAGCAGCTTACTTCATTACCACTTCAAAGTGCTTTTTACCTTCCATGTGCGAGTGACACGAGTTTGATGAGCCAAGATCTCTTTACTGCTACAGGGGCACAGCCTCCCATGAGAAAGATTTTTATGATTTAAACTACCCAACATTAACTGAGATGAGTGTGGACAGACCTAAGATCAAGGTGTTTTTCTTAAAACAAAAATGAAATACAAATATTAAAATTGAGTTTGTGCAGAACAGTACCTACCAGAGAGCTAAACATGCAACACTGGGCAAAAGCAAGTGGTGAAGTGCATTTACTAGAGCTTAGGTCTCAGGAGAAGAGAAATTCCCCCAGCCACCATGAGGAAACAGCTCAGTTTTCTATATTTTACTATATGACAGAAAAAAGCTCCTAATGTGACACAATGTTCCAATATGTGGTGTGGCCATGTAACTAAAGCCAGACCCAAACATCGTGTGTCCTGGACGTTGTGCTAGTCACCTGCAGCCTCTCGTACAGCTTATGCTTTGAAGCCAAGTCCACCTGTTGAGATGCAGGGCAAGTCCACCACTCGGTGACCTAACTCCACCCTCTGCTGGACAAAATCAACAGGAGATGGACACATCACTGAGAGGATTTCAAAGAGCCCTCTTATGGTGACACTGGCGTACCAGCATAGCCTGCGGGAGGACCAGTTCTTGACACCCAGGCAAAAAAACCCAACAAAAGGCTCCCCCATCCCTTCATCTGTCCCAAGGTAGGCCACAAGCCTCAGTCACAATTGCAAAGGTCATCTGTCGTGCCAGTGACACTCAAGGGACAGGAGCGATCGTGAATTAACCGCTTGATGAATGAGGCCCTATAAATTTTTGATCAAAGGCAAAAAATGCAAAAATGCTGATGAGGGGAAGCAGAAAGCAGCTATTCCTTTAAATACAATATTGGATAGCACTTACAAAAGAGTGGTTTGGTCACCACTGATGATATTTTTATGTCATCTCACTTATTTTTTTCATCTCCATAAGAAAGGGTGTGTTATACCAGCTGGGAACTGCACTAGCGCTTTCTCTGTTGCAATACCATCACTGGGAAAACTTCGTCAAAGGAAAATCTAGAAAAAGTTACTACTACAGGAAACAGTCCACTTTAGAATATAGACTTTTTTTTTATAGCTAGATAATTCCTCCCAAAGAGCCACAAAGGCATTATTCACAGCTGACATATTGAGACAGCATCTGTCTACCTGTCCTCTCCACTCCTCCTGTTTCACTGTCATCGGACTTGTTAAAGCCGCATTTACTTTAACAGGTGAATAATTACAATCTTCTGCACCGTTGAAATAGCCAGAGGATATTAGCCGCATGCTGCAGATTAAAATTAAGCATGACATTTCAGCTGCATGGTGTATTTTAAAATAATTTCCAAATGTTTTGTATCTCAGTTGGGAAAATTTATTAAACTAATTTGTATTCATTTCTGGATCCAATGGAACAAATAAGAAAGGGAGAAAGACAGATACAGGGGAAAGCCATGTCAGCAATAAATGACATCAATTTCTTCCTCTCTACATAGCTTTCTCTTCTGATGTCTTTGCACTGTATCAATCAACTTTTCTTACCTGGTATGTCCGCATGCCGACCTTATGTTGGAATTTCACTTCAGAATATTGCTTAAGAACCAGAGAGCAGTGTGGCCTACAAACAGTGGTCCTGAGCATTATCTATTGCCCATACTCAGTTTCTTATAACTTTGCCACATTTCAGCCTTTCAGCCTGAGATTTTTCTTCTTAGATTTTTGCCTCAACCTTATTTAGGGAGAATGCAGAGATGCCAGAAAAGGGAACATATTAGGCAAAACAATATTTTTTTCCCACATTAAAAAAAAATAATCTGCCAATTCTCATGGGTCATGCCCAGTTTTCAGAGTAAGATGTAAGATTTGTTTAAAGGAAGGTATATCTCTTGCAGTTTCCAAGAGAAGACAGCCTTCTAGGCTGCAAGAGAGGCCCTCTCTAAAGGTTGTAGCTGTGCCATGCCTGGGCTGGCCTCACCATGGGTACAACTAAGCAGTGTCCATGATCCCAAG